ATTCCTGTAATGTCTGAAGAGGACTTAAAAACAAAACAAAAGAAATTCACAACAACAAATGGGGAGTGGGGAAGCAACACACCTTTTCTCTGAAAAGGGATTAGGACATCTTTCTCAAAAGTCTTCTTAAGGACTATTATGTAATAATTATTCTGCATAGCCAGTGACTTTGTTTTTCCAGCTATTAAGCAATCTCTCTGCCATGCCAGTCTGAAATAAGGTTTTGTTATAAGAAATTAATCCTACTCTGACACATGGGAGGCAATAGGTCCTGTTGGGAAAGGGACTTAGAAAGTTAGAAGATGGAGAAAGAATCTGGTGCAAAAGAATGGTCATGTAGAGGCCTGGAAAATTTCAGAGATAATGTGGTAGCTCCAAGTAGCACAGAAGTGAGAAGGTACAAGCATATCAGAACAGGTTAGATAGAAGACGAGTATTAGAGTGAAGAACTGGTTTTAGGATTCCTTCTGAGGGCAAAATAACCCAGAAGATAAGCAAAAATATTATCGTTTTGGTCTCAATCTGGAATTAGAAGTGAGAAGTACTTCACAATGCATCTCCAGTACGTGCATTCAGCAGATTTTTTTTAATCCTGGCTATGACTTTACCAGCATTGTGCCTGGTATCAGTTTGATTTTTTTCTGGGTATGAGAACCTACAAAATCTTTTTCAGTTAATATTCAGCCTGACACCTAGGTACAGAGTCAGTGCCCTTGTATTACAAAAATCACTCACTTGAAAAATACTCTTATTGAACACAATTGTTATTGCCTGCCTATATCCAGGCCAGCTCTGATACCGTGCAGCTTTGCAATATTAGATCAGCCTGTTGTGAGATGAGCTGTGGGAGAATTGCTGCAAGATGCCCACCTTCGCTCAGGAAGAGCATTTAAGCTCACCTTTGCCTCAGTCCTGGCCTGAGCCACATTGCAGCCTTTGCCTTGCTGCCCACCTGGCTGATTGGAACCACTGACTTGGTTGCCTTGGCCCTGCAGACTGCTGGCTGACCACTGCAAACCAGTGGAGGAAATCATAGAAAATTCTATCTCTAATGAAAACCCAGGGAAACCCTCCTAGCAGTTACTCAATCTTCTTTACCCTTTGTTAAGTGATTATGTTAAACTCCAGATATCTTTAAGTCTGTAAACTTCTGAAACCAAGACTGTAGTATGTGCATTCTACACTTCTAGGTAGTGTTCTGGGTTATAGTGAAGCTACTTTAATGTCTAAATAAATTCACCAATACTGCTTAACGGCATTCAGTAGGTATCTTCACAGTACTGATGACAGAAACATGTACAGCTTTCTAGTCTCCGTGTATCTGACATGTTACCAGTAATTCTAAATACTTCTGTTCTTTCTTTGCTCTGTAAAGCACTGAAATAAGCTACTTACCACCATTAAAATAGCAGCCTATGAAGACTATAAAAGCAGGCAAAAGTAAAAATTTATCTCCAAAAACCATTTCACTGTCATCCACATAAGATAAAAAGACACTGCAAGATTCACACAAGATTCAAATACACTGAAGCTCTGTGAAATATTACTGATGTAGTATTTTAAATACTACACTGCATTGTTCAATCCTTGTGCTTCTGTAAGAGAAGAATCAGAGACAAACCTCTTCTTCCTAAACAACAGGCACCTTTCTTTGATGGAGTTCTGTTGCAGTACAGGAGTGATTAACATGAGGTCTTCTAGTTGTAATACATTTCATGGGCAAGCTGTCAAAGCTAGACACTTAAATTTTGACACTCCTTCCCCTCCCTTTCATGCAAATGCTCATGTGTGAATTCAGAAATTTAAAATCCAGTTTCTGGTAGTACTTTAAGCACCATCAGGGATTTTAATTTTATTAGATCTTTACCATTTATCCTTGCTGTTCTTTTTTTTTTTTAGGAAAATCTAGGCTTTACAGATTGAACTAAATAAGATCTAAACTCTACAGCTATTGGCTACTAATTATTCAAATAATGTACCTACCTTTCTACTCATGAAGATATAGATGACTGGATTATAAGCAGTGCTCGACTTGGCAAAGAAAGAGGGGATGATAGCTACTGTTGGAGTCACAAGGTTGCTATAGCCATACGTTATCAGGAGGGAGACTACTGCATAGGGCATCCAACAAATAAGGAACGTGGAGATCATTAAGAAACACATTTTAGCCACCTTCTTCTCATATTTTAGAAGTTTGATCACTTGAGCAGTCTGGAAATCTTCCACACTGCGAAGCTGTAGAAGAAAAAAATAAAATGGTAAAGGAAAATAGTGTTGCGGTTTTAAAAGGGAAGGTTGCAAAAACGACAGAAGTATCTACATGTAGATCAGCAGGCACTTCTTTATTGCAGCGCTGGGAAGCTTGGAAATCACCCAATGCTTCGAATACATCACAAAAATTCAATCTATTTATACACCTTTTTTTGCAAAGTCATGATCTTTCACATATTTTAACATAAACATACATACTATACCCGCTATTAACTCTAACCTTTACAATGACTGGTTCATCCCTCATTAATATTTCTGTAGCCTATTTCCATAGAATCGTTGGCCATTGGAGTGAGACCACATTTGATCACAAGGCACAAAACAGGAGGGTAGGGAGGTAGGGAGGTAAGAGACATGCCCGCGTGAAATGCGTGTATTGATCTGTCTAAATGAAATATGCTGGTATTGTTATTAAAGTGCAGGTGCAGTGATATAGATCTGGCCTTAACAAGTACGAAACATTCCCTGCCAGTTTTACAACTCGTACCAGCTCTAGCTTTAGCCATTTTCATAAAGCCTGCATTGGTGATTTCTTAGCATAAATAAGGTTTTGTATATTCCTTTTCCTTATCAACAAACTAATTTAATTAAGATAGTGATCAGTATTCATTAAAGAATTAGCTCTTTAAAACTTAAATTTGATTACAACAATAGCTCTACATTTTACCTGAAGTTATGTAGATCTATATTTATATTTATAAATAAAGTAGCAAATTCATTTTAAGCACAGAGACAATACACCTCTATCTCATGAAACAACTATTCTGGAACTTTACAGCAAGCTTCCCAGATTTTTCTTGTGTACATTATGTATAAAAATATAATCTGGGGAAAAGTAGAGTAGGAAATCTACTGGAAAACAACAAATCCAATGATGCAACAAAACATGCTGCACTTCAAGTGCTTTAGAAAACTAATTTGCCCTCATCCACTGGCATAAACAAGTTCAGTTTACATTTAGTGGTCCTTTGACTAGTTAGACAATCCTGTAGATTTGTGTCACAAGCAATCTTTAAAGAGAAGAAAGTTTCATTAATAGATTTTTCTGTACTGCTCTGCCATTTTATCCTAAAATTAGGAAATTTCTATTTAAAGCAGAATACTAGGCAGCAGGTTCCCAGTGTCATTGCAGTGAGTCATAAAATGAGGAAGAGATGGAACATGTACATAAGTGTTCTCCATCACAGCTATCAGTTGTTCATTTGTTCTAATACTGTTGACCACAAACTTGAATGAGTCCAGACTAATTACTCACAGAATATGAACCATCAACAGTTTCTGACACTAAAGATCTGGACTAAATTAAAATGGGTTGTCTTAACATGGAAAATTGTTTTACCAGGGCTTAATCTCCACTTCAAAGAGTTTTACAGGGTTATCTTCTCAAGAGTGGCAAGGAAGAGACAGATATCTTTAATTAGGAGAACTGCAAAGAGGCTTTTTTTCCCCCATACCTTTTTGAAGGGAGGATCTGAATGAACCATCAACAGTTTCTGACACTAAAGATCTGGACTAAATTAAAATGGGTTGTCTTAACATGGAAAATTGTTTTACCAGGGCTTAATCTCCACTTCAAAGAGTTTTACAGGGTTATCTTCTCAAGAGTTATCTTCTCTTCCTTTCTGAAGGAAGGATCTGATGTGAATTAGTTAACACGAGTAGTTTCATAACTTGCCTCCCAGAAAAACTACACAACAAAGAGACCTTGGTAGGTCTAGGCTGGTTCTCCTCCAACACTACATACTTTCCAGTGGTCCCTAACCTGGATGAGCATTAACATTTAAAAACTTGAATAGGAAGTGAGAATACTAATTTAGGCTCTGAGCCAAGATTAATATATAACATCAACATTTTTCATTAGAAATACTACACTAAGAGAAGTCATTTATTTGAACAAACTTACCATTCTTACTGCATAGAGAATATGACCATAGCAATAGGCCATGATTCCAACAGGTGCTACCAGACAGCCAAGGAAAAAAAGAAGCACAAAGGAGGTATCATTTGGGTCTTTCGATTTCCAGTCTACTGAGCAACCTAATCCATGAATTTCCAGTGTGTATCTGTTCCAGCCCAAAAGAGGTGCTCCAGTCCAGGCTAATGAGTAGATCCAGATGTATGTGATAGCCCGCCAAGACCAGGAGAAGTCAATCACTTTCGCATGGACTACTCGAATGTAGCGTTCATACGCAAGAACAGTGAGAGTCATAATTGAGACAATTCCTGTAAGAAAGAGAAAATAAGTCAAATCATTCACAAACACTGCAAATTAGACTGAAGTCCTCTTGATAAATGTTTCCTTTGCTAGCAGGTAACTCAAAAATAGCTAGTTCGTATTATGAATCTCAATGAATCTCAGTTATGAAAGCTCAATAAACTTTTTTGGAGACACCCCATTACGTACTAACTACCAACTCAAAGAGTATCATTAACTTCAGAACTACTCAGAGTAGGGTGCTGGCATCTCACACATGATGTACGATGGCCAAGAAGAAGGATAAGGGTATTAAGAGACCAAGCTAATACTTCTTCCTAAATGCTACTTCATTAAATGAGAGATCAGGCTCCCAAGAGTAGGGTGGGGGTTTTGCTGGCAATTGTTCTGGGATTTTTTTTTTGCTGTTGGATGCTTTTTTAGGGTTTTGCTGTTGTTGTTTTAAATAAAAAGCTGCCATATATAAAAAAAAAGATGATAGGCAATAAGAAAACCCAAGGAATTCAGAGTTCAGACTGAAGTCAAAGAAGGCCTTCATCAACTGAAAGCACAGATATGCACCTTTAATGTGAGCAAAATGACTAGCAGAATTCCCACTTCTTTCAAAGTTCCCTCTAAGTCCTTGCATTCCACAGAACCAGGACAGCAAAGTGTTACATCGCTGAAGAAGCCCCACCAGGAAGATACAGGGTTATTTTGAGTGTCCTTTCCTATCTTGCTGCTGTTTTAAAAATAGCATAGTCTTCATTTCAACTGTTTATCTTCCTTTTCTGTCCACCTCAACCCCCCTACACACTTATTAATGTGTTATGACAGAAGCGACAGATTAATTCCAGGTCTCAGCATTACCCTTACATAAGTCATTGTGCTTTTCCTTACATAAGTCATTACTATAGAATTACATTTTTTGAAAGAGAAGTTGGACTAGCAAATGTGGAATAAAGGGTTTCCAAAAGACAAGATTTGTTTGGTTGATGTGTTTTTTAAACTGATAGGAAGTCCTTCATGCCCCTTTTCAAGGTCTAACATGCTGAAAATGGAGTGAAGAATGTGGATCTATGCAAGATCTTAGCAGGAATTAGAAAATAAACACAGAATTATATAGGTACTATTCTACACTTACACTAGCTCAGGTAAACGCCTTATACAATCAAATGCAATCTACACAAGCTAAGGCATAAAGTTCATCTCCCATTTTTCTGTGCCCAAAGACTAGGAATTACAAAATTTTGCCTCATGGTTATTGAAGTCATCCACAGACAAGGTTATGGAGGAAAATTCACACCACTCAGTTTGCATACACAGTGCACTGAGGCTTTGTCTGTGATCAGTGGAGAGAAAGGGCAGGTCCTCAGGACGGCAAGTCAAAATTCCAAAATTAACCTCTTGCTTTTTACTACCTTCCCTCTACCTACAATGGTGTTCAACGATTAATGTCCCTGTGTACTCTTAATACTTCCCCATTTATTTTTATACAAGTACTGAATTCCGGCCATGACAAAGTAATTAAAACCACACATGCTTGGTTGAAAGCACAGGTGTTCATAACCTATAATTCACTGAGTTCTTGGCATTCACAGGGAAGCCATTTCTGGAAGCTCAGCATCTCTAAAAATTGGTACTCATACATAAATCTTTGAAGAGTTTTACATCAACTCCCTTTCAGTCTGAAACCAGTGGTCTTTAAAAGGATACTTGAGTTTTCTCTCTGAACCATAAAAGGGATCTTGGTTAGCCCGTTGGGCAGTTATGTACTGAAATGCAAATCCCTGTTCTGTTAGTATTCAAGAAGTGCTGGTAGCGTGCAGGCATGAGGCAAGAAATGCAGGTCACAATATATTAAAGAAAGTCCCCTTTGATGCAGGATCTCTACTGTAACAAGGTCATGGCTGTAAGAGTAGGGGTTGAAGTAGTTAACCATAAAAATAGAAACTGGAAACCAAATGCCTTCACGGGGCAAGACTAAATATAGGTAATTTCATCCATAAAAAGCCACTCATATGCTGTCAAGCCATGGCTGCCTATTTATTTGTGGTAGAACAACATGCAGAAATACCTCTAAGAACAGAGATACTGAGATATGCCCTAAGGACGTGAGTTTTAAAATGTGTCTTATAAAGATAAAGCCTATAACTAGTGGAAAACATACATCCATTCTGGTGTAGAGTGCTGTGGATAATGCTGCTTAAGATTTGCTTGGGTTTTGTCATTCTTGTTACTACTACAGTGGGCTACATGACAGATGAATTTATATGAAAACAATATTTCAGTGTATTCAAAGGGTAGAAGCTATCTTGCAAGTGTGCATCACAACTATGAAAGCATGTTTTTAAATGGGTTTTGCCAATCAACTACTTTTACTGAATGAGCAAAATTCAACTACAGGCACTGTCTCTCAGCTTTCAGACATTGCTGAGTGGAACAGAAATAGCCAGAGGAACAACTTTGGAGTAGTGACATCAGCATTTCAGAAGCTATTTTATTCACAGGAATCTCTAAGATTGCACTGCCTGTTGTTTGGTGGTTTTTTTGGTCATTCTCTCCTTTAATATTACCCAGAAAAAAGTATGAAAAGAATGTATGAAACACTACTATACTCCCATAGAATACAAATAACTCAGAGTTGTAAATTTGATTGTCCACCTTTTTAATTTAGAAAGTCTATAGAGTAAAGTCTCATGACTTAAGCTAAGCATCCATTACACTATAAGAATCTAGTAGCTGGTCTTTTTTAGACCTGTTTCTATATATCTGACATTAATCCCAGGCCTTGGTAACAAAAATCCAGGTTGATGCACAAACACAAACCCACCATCACTGAAGGAAGAGTCAGCACAGGAACTGCTATGTGAGCTGGACCTCTACAAATCAACAGGCCCTGACATTATCCACCTAAGGGTGATAAAGCAGTGGCTGACATTGTTGGAAGGCCACTCTCCACAATCCTGAGAAGTCATGGTGATCAGGGGATGTCCTAGAAGACTGGAAGAAGGCTAATGTCACCTCCACCTACAAGAAGGTCTTAAAGGAGGAAATTACAGACCCATCAGTCTTACATCAGTGCCTGGGAGGTTACAGAAAAGTCCTCCTGGGGTGTCTCACAAGTCAAGTAAAGCAAGCAATGGGGAAAAGCTAGCACAGATTGACCACCAAGGGCAAACCATTCTTGACAAACTTGATCACCTTCTAGAACAAAGTCACCTCAAATCAACTGAGCAGGTTAGCAGGAGACATTGTCTACCTGGATTTCTCCAAGGTTTTCCATACAGTTTCCTACAGCCTCAGCCCTTGAGAAATTGATGCATTATGGTCTAGTCAAGTGGTCCAGAGGGTGGTGGAAAAAGGCTCCTGTTCACAGTGACAGCCTGCCACAAGTGGGGTCCACCAGGGACTGACACTTGGCTCAAAGCTGTTTAATATCTTTGTAAGCAATCTGGATAATGGGATCAAGTGTAATCCGATGAAATTTGCCGATGATACCAAACTGAGTGGGGAAGTAGACACTTCAGAAAGGAGAGCCACCCTGCAGGAAGACCTGGATAGGCTGGAAGAGTGGGCTGAGACAACCTTATGAAGTTCAGCAAGATAAGTGTAAAGTCTTGCACCCAAGAAAACATAATCCAGGAGTGCAGCACAGACTGAGATCTACTTGGCTGAGGAGCAGCTCTGTGGAAACAGACCCGGAGGACCTAGCGGACAACCAGGTCAATATGAGGGAACAGTGTGCTGTTGCTGCAGCAAAGTAATCCAGTAGTACGCTGGATTGCATCAATAAGGCATCACCAGCAGACACAAGGTAATTATCTCACTCTATTCAGTGCTTGTCAGGCCACACTTGGAATACTGAGTCCAGTTTTGGTCCCCGCTACACAAAAAAAATACTGATAGGTTGGAGGCAGCCCAGAGAAGGACCACAAAGATTATCAGAGCATTGAGAAGATTACTATAGGAGGAAAGACTGACAAAACTGCACTTGTTCAGCCCTGAGAAAAGAAAGCTTAGGCGAGATCTTGCCTCCATGTTCCAGTATTTAAAGAGTGGCCACAGAGACGGAGATTCCTTTTTCACATGTCATGTGGAAAAGACATGGTGTAATGACGAGTTACTCCTGGGGAGAATCCAACCGGACACAAGAGGAAAGTTTTTCAATGAGAACAATCACCCATTGGAATAATGGTTGGACCAGATGATCCTTGAGGTTCCTCCAACCTGGTATTCTCTGATTGTGTGACCATCTTTATTAGCCTACTGTATGATTTGATGATGCTTTTTAAAAAAAAGAAATAAAGCTTGCAAAAATCTGTACAAGATACAATTTATTTTACTGTGTAAAGCCTATGTATTTTCAAGGTTAAGCCTGTGATTTCGAGGTTTCAGGTGTTATTACCACAAATTGTTTAAAGCCTCAAGATACCAGGAGTTGCACAACTCTCATACCAAACTGGGAAGCTCTTGCTTTTGATAGTGATAATGACTGTAATAGTTTTCAAGCTTGTAAAAGTTTCAACTATTTCTTTTATTCTTAAGTATCAAAAAAAAATAAAAATCAGTAGGTAGTATCTTCAAAACTGTCAACATTACTTAGGATCTTATGTTCCACTACAAGTCAGTGGATCACAAGGTCCAGTTCTGCACTGGGGGCTGTGGGAGGTCATTGTTTTTAATAAGGCTTCAGTACAGGCAAGTGCAAGAATAGAACAGACAACAATCTTAACTCCCCCCCCTCCCCCATTTTCCATTCTGCATCAACAAGCAGTCAAAGCGCATTTGATATTTCTAACAAGAACTCTGAAAAAGAAGGAGCACAGATTAGCTCCTGTAACTACAATAGCCTCATGGATAGACCACTAAAGCATGAACTGACTGTTTTATCTATGAAAGATCTGCAACAACTGGAAACCTTGTCATTTGTGTTTCCCAACTATTGGGAATTTCATTATGAAACCGCAAAGCCATAAAAGCCCAAGGGTCTTGTACAACTCTAAGTAGGAAGAGCTGGAATATGCCT